TAGGTTGGAGGCCATCGCTAGTAGGTTGGAGGCCATCGCTAGTAGGTTGGAGGCCATCGCTAGTGGGAGGCCATCGCTTCTAGGTGGGAGGCCATTGCTAGTAGGTTGGAGGCCATCGCTCTCAGGTTGCAATGCTTCCCAGCTACAGAGCTGGCCGCTTCTGAGCGGCTGTTCTTCTTCAACTTCTTCTGCAATCGCTCCGAGGCCTTTGTGAGCGCTATATAGCGCTATGCACCAGAATGATCCTTCTTCAAATGGTGGAGAACTATGACTGTGGGGGATCACTGGAAGTTTAGCAGTTTAGCAATGAGTTTGGACTTAAACTGCTCGACCGACTATGTATCAAGTTCTTGGCTGGTGGGAAGCAATTAAGCATCTCAGAATCTCCGCCTCCCAAACGGGCAGCACAGCATACTCTTGCTTGTGGTCCGTTTTGCCTCAGGCTGGGACTATCAATTGTGTGATATAAGGACCCTGTGCTGCCATTACTGTGCCTCCTTCCTTTCTACTGTACACGTAAGGTGCAAGTGCGATTGTGAATGCATTCACAAATATCTCCATATATGTCTGTCTCAAACGTGACCATCTGTCATTGCGAGAATTGCATGCTGGGCTTGTTAGGAATTCGTTGAGACTTTGAGGAATCCAACATATATATATATATTAATATATATATACAGTATATATATATATTCTAAGCCAAAGATCTGCTTTCGGAGCTATCGCTGTCAGAATCCTGACAATACAACTGGGAGCACAGGATGCTGGCAAAGTCGACACAACAACCAAATATTGAACGTAACATCTGGCTGAAAAGAATGAGGGAGTTCCGCAATCAGGAGAATACTTTAATCTGAAAAGCACCCTGAGAAGGCAAGCATTTGTACCATTTGTTTGGCCAAGCCATGCCAGAATGTCTTCTCCATCAACAGCAAGGGTAAACTTGCTGGTCTCTTGCGGGACGACAGAAGCATACTCACCTCACAAAGACTATGCAAAAGTGACCAAGCTTGCATTGCACCCCAACAACTTCCCTTCACTGCAAGGACATCTTCGGCTGAGTTCGAGACCACCGGATCCATTACTTAAGGGTCGCGGTTTCTTGCGAGACATGAGAGCCTTTTGCGCCTGCGCCTGGGCCTGAGTGAGATCTCACAGGTCCTGTCTGTAAATCCAAAGAAATATGCATCAATTAATCTGTCAATCAATTTACAAACAACACGGGCCGCATCTGACGGTCCAAGGCCTCCTTCTCCGATGGCTTGTATGATTCCGCTTGCAACAAAGCGGTTCCAGTAGGCACCCAAGCCATGAAGACCTGGATGCTGAGATTTTCCAGCAAAAAACAGAAGACTCCATGACAGAAATTGCCTGCCAGCTGCCGTCCTTTCCAATCTTATCCTGATTCTTTCCTCAGCTGCTTGCCCTAATGTAGAACGGAATGACTCCGCTGTATGTTCAAGAAGTTCAAAAATGGACGCAATTGAGGCACGGCTGATTGATAGCTTCCTTGGCTGTTGGCACTGACAAGCCCTGACTCAGGCCGTGCCACCATGGAAATGGGAAAACAATCCGCATATGCTTTTGAAAAGGGCATCGCTACTAGGAACAAGGACGCTACAAGGGGCTCCTGGCATCGCTACTAGGAGCAAGCGCCTTACTACTAGTAACAAGAAGCTAGTAGAAACAATAAGTATTTTCAAATCAAGTCTCCGGCTGTGTGCGGACGGGCTCTTAACAGGGGTGTCCTCGTTTTCCACCCAACAATTTTTTGATTTCGTCGTCGAAGGCTGAGAAGAGTGGGAGTTCCGCCTTGCCCATTTGGCCACCAAACAAAGCACATCGATCTTGATACAACTTTTGTGTTCCACATGCCGTTTTCTGCAAGCAAGTTCAGCAAGTTCAATGTTCTGGATGATAAAGCTGCTGTCTCTGCCACAGTCTGCAGCACCCACCTGCTACCTGAGGGGGATTGAAACACCACTTTCTTCACATCTTCGAAACCTCGCACAATTGGACTCAATGAAGCGACATGGTTTCTGCTGTTCTAGGTGCCATGTGAGCAGGCAATTCAAGCTCCATGGAATGAGGTGTACAATTGTAAAATTATCCTTGATCATCAAATTCCTACAAAATCTCTACACTGTACAGGTGTCCAGGGTATATACTTTCGTTTAGGAATCAACAGGAACAGGAATTAAAAGGCAGCAAGAGAGGCGAAAGGCAATCAATAATTACATACATATATCATATACATAATAAGTACAGTATACAGAAAGGCTTCTGAGAGTTCACCAGTTGCCAGTCTTTGTGAGGAGAGAATAGGAGAGCTAAAGGTGGTCGATCAACTAAACATGGGTCGATGCAATCTTGTTTGGGCTTTGTCAACCTCACTATTTGTCGTGGCTTTCCGGCCTTTCATTCCAAGCTGTTGGCGAAGAGTCTGGTTCTCCAACGTCAAAGCAGCCAAGTCATGCCTGGCACAGTCAACACCCACACATGACTGCCTGTGGAGATTGGAGGCCGCCCTTGGACCAAGCGGCTCATAAGTGTTCTGAAGCGATTCCACAGCCTAGGTAGGCTAGAGGAAATATTTGGGAGTGCTGCTTACTGTACAAAAATTCGACTTCAACCCAATCTTGACTTCATGTTGCGTTGGGATTGGCCAAGCTTCAGCCAAGTGCTCGGACAGTGCATCTTCTGCCTGACATCTATAATCAGATAGACCTCAGTAATCTCAGTATATCCTGTGCGCGATAAACCGTGAACAAACCTTGTTTCTGGAGTTGCAAAGGCTGAGCACGTCACACTTTGATAGAGCTGTTTCCAACCTGGGCATGCAGAGTACGTCTCGACTGTCTCGACAAACGTGTGTGGTTTAAAAATGGGCAGTAAACGAGACATTGACATATATACATATAAATAGATGATATATATATATAGTTTTATCTCACCGCATCCAATCAGGGCCAATGCGAGCAAGCTTTCGAAGAAAAAAATAAAGAAACAACAACTATTGTCAATCCATTGTGCTCAAGTCTATGCTCGACTAGCATCGAAGCGAAACAAATTCGCCCAAGAAACTGGAAAACTAAACTAGACCAGTGCCCAAAGTACCCTGAAAAAAGGAGAAACAATTGTATATAGGGGTTCAAGAGTGACAAAAGTACTCAATTGTATTCAATTCATCAGGTTGTTTTGTTTAAAGAGCTTAATCTATTTGTCTTTGTTTTAACCATGTCTATGAATGCTTCAATTGTCAACGAAAGTTTAAAGGAAATATTTGCATCTGCCAAGTTGCTTATCCACGAAGTCTACCAGCTTTGGACGTGGAGCTGCAAACGGATTCACCGCCGTGGAAATATCACTGAACTCGCTGCAGTTGGTATTCCGCCTACACAGAGCCACAGTGTGTGTGTAGATTGTGTGGAGATCTCTATAGGATCTACAGTAACAGTCTCAAAACCAGTGCATTTTGCAGTAGAGTGATTCCTGGCTATTGTGGTTTATCGCTGCATACATCATATTAGCATAGGCCAGCACTGGTGTACATCATTGACACGGCATACCACATTATCAGGCCATACCACATGAGCAAACATCACAACATCATTCAGTATCATGTCGGCGTGTGTCAACAATAACGAAGTCACTTTTAAGTTTAAAGCGAGGCAATGTTGCTTTTGATTGGTGTACTATCAACAAGTCTGCCTGCTTCCGGCTGGTCGCTCTTCACAGTCCTTGGATCAAAAATCCATGCATATCAATCCTAGCTGCCGGCAAAGAGTCAGAACATGCTCAAAGGAGCAAAATGCAAGTCGACTCTATTGCTTGTCATGCGGCTTTGGGGATATAAACAAGTTGAAAACATTGTCAAAAACCGCTGTCAGGGAGGCCATACAAGCAAAATGCCAAAGAAGCAAAGCGTCATGATCCGGGATACCAGGAGGCACGTGCAAGGCTGGAGCGTGCCCGGGCTGACACAGGTGCACTTGCAGATTAACTTAAATCGTGTCTGCGGGTTGGACAAAGCAACTGGGCAAATGGGTAGCACAGTGGGCCAACCCTTGCAAACGCACTGTGGGATGGGTGGTTGACAGGAAAGAGTTGTAAAATCGACCAAAAGCCTGCCGCACCTTGTGTAGCATTGCTGGGAGAGCGCCAAATTCTTGAGCCCGAACGCTTCAATAATTGGCAAGCGAGCAGGTTGTCTACAGACGATTCAATTTACAAAGAACGGCAGCCGCCCTATAGCACAATTATCAAGGCTGAACATATGAACCTGGCCTCGCACCAGACATCCCGACTGCACTGTCCCAGCGGTCCTCACAGTGCAGAGATTCGAAACAACTGGGGCAAAGACGACTGCAGCAGTCCCGCCCAGGCTCATCCATGCTCCGTGGATCTATTGTCCGCTCGGCACCTCATCGGAGAGAGAGTTGATAAGCACATGAGATACTGTACCTTTTGCACGGCCATCTTATACAGTCTGTACTAGAGTCTGTACAGTGCTAAGGACTGTCTGAAATATATCCAAACAAGCTGGGCATTGTGAAGAAACTCTTTCTGCTGCATAACTGTCCAAATATGATCTGCGCACCTAGAGCTGGGGGCTCAGGGCTGGCCGGCCGGTGCATCCTGGTGGGAATCTAGCAACATACCATGGGGACTAGTGCGGCTTCAAGAAGAGAGGTAATTTGCAATTGGCTCAGTAGTTCCCTGACTGGCATAGATTTTGGAACTTCCTGGACTTCCTCTGGTTAATACAGTGTTGTCTCTCAAAAACTTTAAACGTTGAAAGCGTTAGATTCCAAAGTACACGTTCTGCTGCCATTCTGAAGAGCTACAAGATGTATAAGTTCAACAAACAAAGAAAGCTTCCACTCAAGGTCATCAAGGGGTCCTTGCTCGTCGATGTTCGTCGAGATCGTCACCTTTGGCAGCAGATTGGACACTCGAAGTCTTAGTATGAACAATGAAAAGCTTATGAAAAGCATTGAAAAGCTACAATCATTCCAATATCTATTCATGTGTGAGCAGCAGGCCTTGCGCCGCCAGCAGGGCAGCATCTCCCTCAGAGTCGGAAGCCTGACATTTGATCCGAGGATTGTCTTGCTTTCATGATGCGAAGGAGACACATTTCAGCTGCTGTGGGGCTCTTTGCCCAACAAGAACCTGCACAGTTTTCATTTGTTCCAAAGCCTTTCGAACCGCTTGGCTTACCGTGTTTCCCTTGCTGAGTCACAAAGGTGCCTCCTCAAAGTCGTCGTCGCTATATGAGACGGTAACTTGGAACAAAGGAACAGTTCTCCCAACAGAATAGCGAAGCAAATGCGAGATCCAAAGGTGAAGCAAGTCAAGTTCTGTGCCCATTCTTTGAACCTGCACTCCGGACTGTGCTTAGAAAAGAAACTCTTGAGAAAGTTCCGAGTTGTGAAGAGTGGACAAGTCTAGCACGTGGGCGAGTTCACAGGAGCAGAAAGGGGCCGAGCTCTAGGTCTAGTGTGACTAGGTGGCCTTGGTGTTGGCGTGGAGTGGTGATAAGGGTTGTCCAACGGAGTTGCAGTGGGAGGCGACGCATTGGACTGGGTGCCGGTTGTGCGGGTTTCGCAAGTTGCACCCCGGCGTTATGGGCGAGACATCATACAGTACAATCATAAAACATTGCAAACAACAAAGACATGCGACAACACATTGGGCTCACTGGACACCAGCACATCCTTGAATCATTGCACATCACATCGTCACATCAAGCATCAGAAATCAACACTTCCTACAGTTGACCTTGTTTGAGACTTTCACCCACTAGTTTGGGAGGATTGACCTGCAGCGCAGAAGCAATTCGTGACGAATCCTTGTCCCTACATGCCAAGGCGCGCTGGGGCGCATTGCTGTGCAATCGCAAGTTCAAACCAGGGACCATGGTGGCCATGGCTAAGTATAATGGTTAGAAACAGTTGACCTGAGGAATGGCTTTGAAAAGTAACCCATCCAAATCAAACCAGCTCTCATCAAACAAGTGTAGCACTCTCTCAGAGATGGTATCGTGGCTGCAAACAGTCTGCTGATGTGGCACTCCGCTGCAAATGGCTTAGCTCAAGACTGACAATCTTAGTCTAATTCTAGTTTTTACGTTTTGCAGGGTCGCCTCCTTATGCGGAGATCACGTTCTTGGTACATATTCACCGGCATCGAACCATACTGCTCTGCACTGGCGCAAGGTCGGTAATGGTAGTGATGGTCGCTTGGTGATATTGACTTGCAACAGGACTTGCTTTTCCCCTAATTAGGGACTGCATTCGCTTCTAGTACTGTGTTTCAAGTTACAATCCATTGATATATTTGTTCAAGAGAAGAACCGAAGAGAAGGCATCTGTGAATCTTGTCATTTTGCAGGCACACAGCCAAGCAAGTGTATTGCCGTCTGACTTTAGCTGCAGCAAGTTTTTGCAGGCTCCATGCCTCAAACAACTGGTCTTTCTACGTGTGCCATTGGTAGGCACGAGAGAGGAATGTTGGAATGGTGACTTGCTTTCCCAACACCCATGGGTTCGATGACTCATTCGGATTTTTCCAACATTCGTAGCTTGGCCACACTCCATCAGATCTGTTCTCTAATCCCCCATTCTGCTCATTTTGTGCTCGAGCCCCTCAGCGCGTCGCCGAAGCCTTTCGCAGGGATTTTCACGGTACAGCCCGAGGTAGATGATGCTGACGAAAGCTCAGCAGGGGCATCTCATCAATCCTTGATATCTCAGCTAAATTAAATCAAAATCTGTATCTGAGTGACCTTCACTTTGAGGCTGTAGCACTTTCATTGCCCATGACGATGCCATGCTGCTTGCAAAAGTCCACAATTTTGTCGCGAAGCTCTGTCTGAGGCAAAAGATCCTGTCAGACATGTTGGTCTGTAAGCATTCATTCCGCGCCTGCAGCAACTCGGATGAGTCAGAATGATTGAAATCTGCACCTATCAAGCGAAATAAGGGAGATCTTGGCGTGCCATTCCCGAACCTTGACAGCCAGCGGCTTACGATTGAAAGGATCGTCATCATTGGACATGATGTGCCGTTCGATCACCTGGCGCACAAAATCTGCTGATCTCAAAAGGAGTGCGACAAAGCACTGTGCTTTGGGCCACCTTTACCTTTCTTCCTATTCATTTCCGATATGGCTGGATCATGTGGGTTTGTATATTTTTAAGGTTCCCGGGCCGGGATGTTTGACTATGGGGTATGCTTCGGAGGTATGCTTCGGGGGTATGCTTCGGGGTATGCTTCGCGCAGTGTGAAGACTAAAGTAGTAGCATTTCCAGAGGGTGTGCTTCAGGGTATGCTTCGGGGGTATGCTTCGGGGTATGCTTCGCCTAAGTCGAACATCCCAGCCCTACATAAACTGGACACCTTAAAAAAAGACAAGCCCATGTCAAAGGTCATGTGCAGCGAGTCTATCATGTTGGAAGGCTTTCCTCAAATGCGGTCGATATTCTCCATGCATGGGCGTGCGCTGCTTGTGTCTGTCTCACCCACTGAAGCAACAAAGCTTCCGGAAGCCTTTCGGTCCATGATGGTGTTTGAGGTTGGTAACAAGACTGGATCCACCTTGGAAGCTGAACATGTCAACAAGCAAACTGGAAGGATGGAAGACCCTGCCACATGGTGGTCAGCGCATCTCACCGTTGATTGATAACTAGGATTTTTCTTTATATAGACACTTATATACTAGGCAATTGGCTTAAACAGATTTTAGGCCACCAGGGCAAAGAGTGCCTCAACAGCAATAATATGAGACATGATATGTCTAGACTCTAGACATGTGTGCGTGTGTCACATGTGCTTGGTCCCTTGCCATGATCTCAGACATGATGGGGTCCAGGAAATCATCGGGCACTGTGACCTTGGAATGAGGGCGACAACTCTGTTTCTCAGCTCCTAGCCACAAGAACCGAACTGTCTGAGAGTCTTACAAGTCTTACAAGAGTCTTACAAGTTGTGTCCAATTGAAATCCACGGAGTAACCCAGCACCACAACACAAAGCATACCAAATATCAAAGCAGGGGATTGTCCAAGGCTATCAACGATGCATTCAAAAGATGTTGAATGGATGATAAATGTTGTTCGAGTGACAGAAACACCTGGGTCCCAGACATTGGCCAACGCGGCTTCTTGACTCTCTGCCAAGTCGTTGAGCTCCTAGCAGAAGCAACGAAAAGCAAGAGATCAGAAGATCTGGAAACATGCGCTAAAGTCAGAATATGTAGCAAAGTACCAAGTACATGTAAGTACTACCAACATGGAGTACTTGACGTCAATGTAGAGGGCTACAAGTACGCGGGCAAGGCTTTGAAGAGGCATAGGAGGAGTCCAGTCCAGCCTGGACAAAGGTAGAGAACTCCTGCAGCATGTCCGCGGAAATCATCTGCTCACGCCTGCATGAAGGACACAACCAAGCTAACACCCTCAGCAAGCCGCAAAGCAAAGATCAGACACCAAGAAATAACTACTGCCTCAATATCGACACTGCCTTCTGAAATGTTTTAGGACGGTAGCCTTGGCAGCACTTCCCGCTGAAGGGAAAACTCCCACTACAATGGTCAGTATTGGTCAGCAACGGAGGAAAATGATGTTGCAACCAATTGCATCCTCCAGTTGTGCCATTCAAACCGTCATTAGTGGGCTGAGCAGCTTCGGCCATCTTCAGTTATTGTCTTCTGCACCTGCAACTACCAAGTGACCACCATTCTGTGCAGAAAAATGCAAGTCTGATGCACGATCCTCGGCTCAAACACAACCAGGTTAAAGCTGCGCAGCAAACCCGCCCTTTTGTCATTCTGGTGGCGGATATTTGAGGCCTTCCTTGAATCGCAGCGGTTGGAAGACTCTTTGATAGTACCATTGGTGAATCATTGGTGACATGATCTCTCTTTTTGACACAGCGTACAAAGGCCATGTATGGCTATGTGTTGCCCATAGTCGCTGTTGGTGTGATCTCACATGTTCTTCATCATTTTAGATCTATGCTATGCTTGTCTATCATACTCCCGAAAGTTTGATGAGCGGGGCAACCTCGAACTGTGTTCAACTGTTTAAAACCCAAAAGCAAAAAACTATTGTCGAATTAATACTTGCTCTTGTTTTTTTTCGCAGGCTCCACACAAACCAATGGCCAATGCACCTTTGGTCAAAAATGTCACAATTCCGAGTGGCCAAACGTGGACCAGAAAGGTCGGCACGGAGCACATTGCCATCAAAGACCTTTAGTCGCAGTGGCTGTTAATCACCTTGATGAAGAAAGACGGAAGGGAAAAAGGAAGGAAAAAGAAAGGTCCAAAGGATAACTATATGTCCACAACGTGTCCACAAAGTTCTAGGAAACTATCATGCAAAGGATTCTTCAAGGATTCGAGCCCTTTTGCATCAAGTAGGTGGTAGTATTTTTGCTAATTAATAATAGTTTCTCCTTACCTGCTTGCCTGCCTTACATTCTTTGCAGCATTCTCACCCCCCGCTCCAAGAAAATATCCAGAAAAAAAGAAGCAAGGTCCAAATCCAAAGCCTGTCGAAATTTCATCGGTTGATCAAATCCGAAGACCGCACCGGCTGCGCCCACCGCCGCAGCTGCTCCCAGGGCTCTGCTGCAAACAACCGTGGCCTTGGAAGGACAGAAAAGGATATTGAACAAATTTGAAAAAGGTCCTGAAGAAATGAAACAACAGGTTCACAGCAGTTTAAACACCGTATTCTACATAAGCCCACATTACTCATATATACTCATGTGACGAATATATTTATGGGACCACGCTGACAAGCTATCAGTAGCAAAGGGCATCGCTACTAGGAGCAAGTAGCTCCTGGCATCACTGCTAGGAACAAGAAGCTACTAGCAACAA